CCTAAGATTCCTCATGGTACGCAGTGTGGCCAAAAATAAAATGATTAAGAAAAAAAAAACTGAGGACATCGAAGCCTGCTCCATCTCTCGTTTCCAAGGCTTCCACCTCACCTGCCAGCCCACCCTCCCCTTCCAGGCCACAGCCAGAGGGGAGGCACGAAGGGAAAACGGAGAGAGAGAAAGCAGACACTCAGCAGCAGTGGTACCCTCCGGCTCCCGCGCGTTCCCACGCCTTCCCAGCATCTGTGTTCCTCGGAGTCAGCCCAGGGGTCCACAGAGGCCGAGAGCGAGCCCCAGCTGGTAAAGGCGCTACAGCTCCTCAGGCTCTGACCCAGGGCCCCGCGGGCGCCTCGGAGGGCTCCCGTCCACCCTGCTGAGCTGCTGCACGACTTCGGTCACCACGACACGAAGGGCTTCCTGAATGCTTTCCTGAGGACATTGTTCCCCTCGACGGTGTCATCAAGGTCAAATTCATCATGGGCCAGGCTGGTCCAGGTCCTACCCAGTGGGGAAAGCCCGCCCTCTGTCCAAGCCCCACTTCCCCCGGGAAAATTCAGCCAGTGCTTTCTCTCGTTTTTAGCTAATTACCAGCCTCGGAGACGGCAAAGCCGTAGGAAACACGGCTGCCGTGAGCTCAAGACTGCCAGGCAGCACAGAGCACACACCTGGGGGGGCCTGGTGGGGGGGATTCACAACTAGAGACCGACATCTGGGAGCCCCGCTCCGTCCTCTAAGAGGCTCGTCTCCACACCCAGCCCCAGGACGTGCTCCACCCCAGAATCGCACTCAGGGGCCTCTGAAGTCATTCAACGTGTACTGGAAATGCCTCTGTGCAAGCTTTGGTCCCTGCCCTCAAGGAACTCACAGTCCAGGGGAGCGGACACACAACCAGCATGACGCCGTGTGTAAATGCCGCGGGAGGAGAGCGGACCCCGGGCCGGACAGGCAGTCTCTGCTCAACCTCCTGGGCCGTCCTGGAGTGGAACAGCCCAGGAGGCCGGCTGCGCAGTGCACACGAGGCCTCAGGACCCGGACGGGCACCACACAGTCAGGAGGTGGCACAACCCGGGCTCTGTCCTGGGGACAATGCGAGGGAGGCGGGGGCAAGACGGCGAAAGGACGTGCGTGGCGCACACGGGGCTCAGGAGAGAGAAGCCATGGAGGTCTTTAAGGAGGGCCTCATCAGGGATGTGACTGAGAGAGAAAATGCTGGGAGGAGTGGAAGGAATTTTCAGGAAGACACCAAAAGTTTAGGCCAGAGGTGATGAGGGCAGCGAAGCAAGATGGAGAAAACAGATAAAGAAGAGAAACCACCACAGGTGGGTGGGGGTGGGGACGGGGCGGGAGGGTCAGAACCCAGCTGAGCAACAGGGGAAAGGAGACGGAATCTATGCTAAACACTGCGCCGGTGTTTCACACTCTCCATCTTCATCCCCACTGCACAGATGCTGCTTAGGAAAGCTGAAGTGACTTCCCTGGTCACGCAACTAGATTACACAGTTAAGCTTCAAACCCACGTCAACGCCTTTAACCATCATACAAATCAAGACACAGAGATACGTACTGAGCTGTTTCAGAGAATGATCTGGAGCCTGGGGGGCGGTGGGGAATTCACAACTAGAGACAGACATCTGGGAGTCTTCAAGGTAGATCAGCAGGTGGCTGAAGGCACAGGTGAGGCTGAAACCATCTGGCAAGAAAACAAACATGGAAGCTGGAAGAACACTCACAGTTAGGAGAACAGGAGGCGGCAATGGCAGAAGAGACAGCTGGAAAAGGAAACGGTGGTGCGGTGGCATCAAGACAGAACTCCATGAAGTGTGCTGGATGTCATGACTAAGAATGAACACCAGATTTGCAATCATAAAGGCTTTTAGCCAAACTGGCTTCACCACTGCAGTGCTGGAGGCAGAGAGCAAGCAGCAAGGGCCAAGAGGAATGCAGGAATGGAGTTGAGGAGGCTGATTTATTTAAAAAAAAAAAAAAAAAAAGTGACCTTGAAGGCTGCATCTAAAACCATACGTGGAGACTGCCAGGCCACATGGTTCAATTCTCCCGCTGCACTAAGCAGCTCAGGCATGGAACCAAACAGAAATGGACAAGGGAGCTGGGGTTGGAAGTGCAACAGGGGCAGTGGAGAGGGGCGTAAAGACACGAAGGACTTGGGCTCTTCTAGAGAGAAGAACTGCCCTTTCTGGGACTCTAGTAAATATGTTTAAAAATACCAGAAATATGCGGAGGACCCATTCGGAATTTTTAAACAGAAACAAAGCCAAGGTTTATCCCTGCACTGAGAAGGATTTGATAAACAGATAACTAATGTTAACAAACTTAATTCAAAAGGAATAAACAGTTTTTAAGTACATGCAGAGGATGAGATGGTTGGATGGCATCGCCAACTCAATAGATATGAGCTCGAGTGAACTTCGGGAGTTGGTGATGGACAGGGAGGCCTGGCGTGCTGCAGTCCATGGGGTCGCAAAGAGTCGGACACGACTGAGCGGCTGAACTGACTGAAGTACATCAAGGTACCCATGGAACAGGAAACAAAATGATACATACTAATTATTAATAATGCCTCTTTACTCTTAAAGCTGATTGCCCCAGTGGCTTTTTCTTGACTGTTCAGGAAAAGCACAGAGGAGCATTTATGTCTATTCCTTTATCAGACTGGCTGCCATCCCCATTCGATAAAAGGGGGATTTTACCAGGATACAAGAGCACTCACATGTTTCTGAAGCTCTAAGCTGGCTTCTCACTCTTTCTACACTACAACAGGGAGGACAGCGGTATCCCCATCCTTCCAAGGCCAGCAGAGGTGGAGGTCACACCATTCTCGTGCCTCCAAGGCTCCCTGTTCCAGCCATCCTGAGGGGCGACACTCTCGGGTGCTCCCCCACACCTTGCTCCCCACTTCTCGTCTCTGACCTTGAGACAGCACCGATGTGACTACTACTTAGCAACACAGGTCGAAGCCTGCACTCCCCTAGCCAGCCTGGCTCTGGGACATGACAGTCCCTCCTGTGAAACATTCCCCAATAAACCCTGGACCACCAGACCTCTAAGGGCAGGTCCCAGGATCACTCTCCCAGCCACAGCGGCTGCTCTCTCCTCCTGATCCCAGCTCCGCAGGATCACAAGGATACACGGAACTCTTTTTCTTGCAAAGAAACTAAAGGAGCCAACACTTACTGAACACCTACCTATTGCCATGGGCTCTGCTAAGAACTTTACATATGATATCTTAGCTTTGCAACAACCCAGCAAAAACAGGTCTTCTTATTCCTGTTTACCAGGTAACTGACACCCGAAGCTCAGAAAGGCTACGTCATTCAGCCAGCAGGTGAGGCAGCATCATACATCTGTCGACCTCTGGGATCCACTTTGTTTTCACTGTACCACACAGCCCTGGCTCACCATCCTACAAGTGCCCAGAGACCCATGCCAGAGGGGAAAAGGAAAAGTGAGATAAGACACGAGCAAGCCTCTTGGTTTTCACTGCCTGGTTCCCGAGTGACTCTGGGGAGTCTAATCTCACGGTGTTTCGCTCAGTTGACAGCCTCGTCAGCCTGGGCCCTGGCAAGCTGACAGGGGTCAGAGGGCCCCCGGCTGGCTTGTCCTGGCAGCTGCCCAGCTGACTTGCACTAACACAGCAACAGGCAGAGGAAAGGCAAGAGAGGGAGTGGAAAAGCACCAGACAGCAGGCCCCTGGGGGCAGAGAAGTGAGCCCTGACGTGCTCAGATAGGCTAGCACTGCTCGAACGCCACACTGGGCTTCCCTGGTGGCTCGGCAGTAAAGAGTCTGCCTGCCGATGCCGGAGATGTAGGTTCAGTCCCTGGGTCGGGAAGATCACCTGGAGAAGGAAATGGCTACCCACTCCAGTATTCTTGCCTGAAAAATCCCATGGACAAAGGAGCCTGGCAGGATACAGTCCACGGAGCTGCAAGGAGTCAGACACAACTAGCGACTAAACAACAACAAAGCCACCACTGTTACCGGGGGTGGGGAGGCAAACCCCAAGCACATCTACTCACTAGTATGTTTCAGGGGCTCAGAAAGTGTGGAAGAATACCAGTCCGTGCCTTGGTTGGTCCCAACAAATCTGGCCCACGTTTGTCAAATCCACGGAAAGCTTGCTGCTTGGGACTTCCCTAATAGTCTAGCGGTTAAGACTTCCCCTTCCAGTGTAGGAGATGTGAGTTCGATCCCTGGTCACGGAGCTAAGATCCCACATGTCTCATGGGCCAAAAAACAAAGCAAAAAACAGAAGTAATATTGTAAAGTCTTTCCCAAAAAGACTTTAAAAATGGTCCACATCAAAACAAAAAACAACACCCTGCTGCCTCACACTACCCGAGCAGAGGCAAGAAAGCAGGCACTATCTCAGAGCCCCACGCAGCAGTAGAGCTCAGGCTGTGGGAAAGCAAGAGCCAGCTGGGAATATTAATAGACTTGCTACAGGCAGAAATTCAGTGAGGGCAAGCCCTCCGAAATAAAATCACTTAAAGGGGGCACAAAGTGAGACTAGGAAGCGGGAGCAACATGCGTTCCCAAGGACAGGGCTTCCTCCGCCAGGCGCTGGGAAGAGGCACAGCAGGACCGGCACGGTTTTCCTGAAACGTCTGAAAACCCAAGAATGTCCTCATCCGTGGGAAAATGTTTTTGGTGTTATTTCTGTTATGTTTTCTGAAGTCCTCCAGTGTTTTCCTTAGGCTGATATTAAACTACATATGTGCGGGATGCCCCAAAGTGTTTCAAGGGAAACCACTCCTGGGATCTCATATTTGCCACAATTGTTAGATGATCGCTTAAAAATAAAGCACATCTCTCAGGTTTCATTAGAATGCGAGGGGCAGCTTGACAGGTGGCAAACTGGCAGTCACCAGGTCAAATTAACCCTACGGGTATGTGAGTATACTTAGAATTTTTTTAAAAAAATAAATTGTCAACATTTAAAAACCAGAAGTTTCCATGCCAAAAAAAAAAATCCACAAAAATCTGAATTTCTAGTATCTTTTAGAAAAAAAATACAGATAAAAATCTGGTATCTCTGGTCAAGCAAGCAGCACAGACTGGAAGAAGCTGCCCAGCCACTGCCTCCTTCAGGCGGGCCTGTGCTTTCTAGCCTGCCCCAGCCTCTCATTTGACACCTCACTGACCCCTACAGGCCTGAGTGTTGGTCCAGGGAAGATACCCAGGCTTGGTGGTACTCAGGACTGCCACAGGGGGGCAGCACTGGCCTGCTAAGGAGGTCTGCGTCGCCTCCAGCCCATAACCAAACTGACCTCAGCACATCCTTTCAGAACCAGAAACCTCATCCTTATTTCAGTAGCAGATCCTACCACCCCCACGTTCCCCACCAAATTTACTCCCTGAGAAGCAACAGCAGTTCATTTCAACATTCCCACCAGGCTCCAGTGACTGAGGGGGAAGCCACCGACTTGATTTGCCCCCTCCTCTGGCTACCATCTTCGGCATCCCCTGCTCCCCCCACGCCACAGCCAGAACCTCTATCTGTTCAGGAGTCCTACCTTCCCCCACCTGGTAACACCATCAGGCCTCAAATCCTGAGGTGAGAAGCAGGGCAAACGCCCTCCCCCTTTTAAGGCAGTTCATTCTTCATCAAACACACTACTTGCCTTTGCTCACTCGGGCTGAAGGTCAACTGACTTCATGAGGCAACAGGTTTGCTCTCTGCTGTCACCCTTTCCAACCTCACTGACAACAGCTTTAGTGGCAGCATTCGGTATAAGCTCCAACCACCCTTCAGGGCAGATGTTCAGTTGTTACCCATTAAGACCCTTAATCATCCCACTTCATCCAGAATGCCATTTACTGTCCCTACCCCTCTCCTGTATTCCAAAACGCAGGAAAAGCCTCACATAAGATACTCTTGGCAGTATTTCTGAGTGAACAATCAAAAACAACCCACATGTCCAGCGATAGGGAAACAGTTAAAAAACAAACTATGCTATAGCTCCACTTGATGGGCAACTGGAAACAATTAGGGTTATGAAGACCATGTGACAAGATGGGAAAGTAATTCCGATATGAAATACTATGTAAAAAGAGAATATAAAATTACATGTACAGCAATGATAAGTATCTAAAAACAACTAGGCCAAGAATTAGTGAAAAATACCAAAATGTTACCTTTTTATCTGTACTAGAGCCCTCAGAGTGTGGGTAACCATTTTGCAAACCTCCTGCCAAATATTATGTATATATACTACTTTTGATGTGTGCATATGAATATGAAGTTGGAAAATCTGATGTTAATTGTCAAGCTCCCTGGTCTACTCTCATTTAGACTTTGAAAGTCTATAAGCCTCTTGTTATCATGATAAAAATGCCCATGGGAACCTGCGCCTTCAAGACTCACTGTCTCCAGGATCCAACACAACCACACTAGTAAAACAAAGCTCCAGGGCCCTGAAGTCTTTAGTTAAAGGCCAATGTTATCCTACCTGGAGATGTCTGCACTTACATAACTCCTAAGGAGACCCCAAACACCACCTGGAAGATAGGATTAGATCAAAATGGTTCTCAGACACCACTTTAATCAAGTTTTGCACTATACAGTAATGGGGGGGGGGGGGGGCGTGTGAAAGATGGTGATTGTTTTCAAGCTAATTCACCTGCCCCAAGGCAAACAGTCTGGGCTCCCAAGAACAGAAAACAGCATTCCTTCCCAGGGGAATCCCCTCCCTGAGCTGCCAGGACAGGATTTCAGGGAGAATGAGCACAAAGGACAGGGCAAGCTAGTTAAGAGAGCCAGGTAGATCTGTGAACTCTCCCACCACCCCAATCCCAGCCACTCCCACTGGAGGCCAAACCACCTTCCCACCGGGACTAACAGCCAGTGTTCGTTTCGTAACTCTCCCCCCAGTGGTGCGCCCAGCAGCGCAGAAGCCCGGGCAGTTGTGGCCACCATCCAGCTGAGGCAACCTTCAGGCCAGAACCCTCCCAGGCCTTCCTCTTCACTGGCCCCTCCGCTTCCAGCGTGTCTGCCTCGCCATAGCAGAGGCAGTGTGTGCGCAGCTGTGGGGGTGTGGGCGGGGCCAGAAGCAGCAATAAAGCAAATCAGACATGGGTTCTGGGGCTGGGTCGACGTGGTGGCAGGACCAGCCATGGCCCATGGAAGGCCCCATCGGGCCCTGAGTCCTCCATTAGTTCTTCTCCGGGCGGTTTCTGTTTAGGACGGCTTTAGGAGCAAATTCCAGCTTGTCCTTAAGGCTCACCACCTGGGTGTGGTCCTTGCCGAGCAGCTCATCCAGCTTGCGCTCCTCCCGGCGCTCTGAGATGCTCTTCTCCTCCTCCACAGGCTGTGGCTCCTTCCCCCGGATGAACCATTCCAGGTGGTACCCCACAGCCCCGACCACGAAGGCCATGGGAAAGGTGACATAGGGAGCATAGGTGCGCACCGCGGTCCAAAGCACAGGCCACATGGCACCTGCAGGAAAGCACAAGGCCGTTAGGCGGAAGCCGCGCCCCCCCACCGAGCACGGACAGCCCGTTGACCAGGCGGCCTGGCACGGCGGCCTGAGCATCCACCCCGTGCAGAGCAACGCAAGAGGCCACCCCGCTTTAAGCAACAGTGGGGTCCCTGAAACCATCTAGGCAACGTCAGAAGATTCTGTGTTAGGGAAGAGGACGAGAGTCTATTTTATGGACTACACTCTTTGACAGTTACACAACCACATATGGCAGTGTTCCCCACAAGAGACCCTCTGAGCCTTACCTGATAAAGCTTCAAGCCTGCTGGTGACCCCAGGCCCTCCGTGCACAGTTTGCCAATGTTTCAAGAGTTGGTAAGAGCGCTCCTCTGTTCTATACAATTCCTCCATCAGCAGAGCTAGCCACCCCTTCCCCACCACACGCAATCCCACTGTGAGTCTCCTGTCCTTTGCCCCGTGTAAAGAAGAAGGAACATATTTAGGCAGCCAAAACCATTACCCAACCAGATTTTAGGTAAAGAGATAATGGTTTTTTCCTATTCTGAACCCAACTTTCCTGACTAGACGAACCTCTTCAAATCTGCTGACCAAACCTCTTTCAAAATACACTCTCTTCAACCAAAGCCATATCCTCATATTTACATAATGAGCTCTTAAAAAATATCACCAACCCATTATACATTCTCTGGACACACCAGAACTTGAAAATGAAAATTCTATGTTTTTGGAAAAAAAAAAAAAAACCACTGTACAGAACTTCCCTGGTGATCCAGTGGTTAAGACTCCATGCTTCCAATGTAGGGGGCCTGGGTACGCTTCCTGGTCAGGGAACTAGATCCCACATGCAGCTACTAAGAGTTCAAATGCCACTAACTAGAGATTCTGCTTGCCACAACTGAGGCAGCGCACAGCCAAATAAGTAGCAGCTAATAAAGAATCTGCCTGCCAATGCAGGAGATGTGGGTTCGATCCCTGGGCCAGGAAGATCCCCTGGAGAAGGAAATGGCAACCCGCCCCAGTATTCTTGCGTGAAGAAGCCCATGGACAGAGGAGCCTAGCAGGCTACAGTCCATGGAGTTGCAAAGAGTCAGACACTACTGAGTGACTAACAGTTTCACATTTTTTTTTCCCATAAAACAAAACACAACACTGTACAAACCACGGCAGAAAAACAAAGAAGTGGAATGGCCCTAGAGTTTCCAGAAATGAAGACAACACCAAAATAATGTAAAAACACACAAAGTGGGTCACTCTAATGGCCATTGAGGCTCAAATGATTAACAATTATCAAGGACTACTCACAATTATCATGATAGTGATAGCTCCATTTATTGTGCACTAAGTGCCAGACCTTGGGGTAAGCACTTTACATATACAATGCCACTCTGTGATAGATGGCATAACCAGAGGGTTAAGTAATGTGCCCAAAAGTCTCAACTGAAACATCATTCCCTTTGTACCCCTGTAGGTGTTTCCCCAGCTCAGCTGTCTCTGGTCTACCTCACCAAAGATCAGATGACTCTCTCCCTCTCTCTTTGGTTCCAATTCTCTTTGGAGGAATCCCAGCATTTTGTGGACCCAAGATTATAATGGACCATCACGAGGGAAAAAAATGCAGGAGCAGCTCTGAGGTTGCACTCTATGAGTCCCTGTCTTAGCACCAGGCACTACGCCGGACAATGCACACACTAGTCATCACCTGATCTTCACAGGTGAAGATCACCTCTATAAGGAAGGAATTACTAGTCCAGATTTTTGTTGAAGGCCACAAAGGCTCAGGAACATAACCTTAACTGGCCCAAGATCACCAGAAATGACAGAGCCACTAATTGGAACCCAGGCCTCTCCATCTTCAACACCTATGCTCCTTCAGCTGGAAAGAACACACTGCAAATAGGTATGTGTGTGTGTGAGCGCACAGTTCTCTTCACTCAGCCCTGTCCGCCTCTTTGTGACCCTACGGACTGGCTTCTGTCCAAATCCTGGTCTTGAAGACAGCTTCCTGCAATTCTTCCCCATCAACTTGGCACTTCACTACTTAAAGAGCTTCTCTTTTTGAAAACTCTAAGATTCGTTATAGACTCAGAGATTTGTGAAATGATAAGGACCCTTGAAGAATCTCAAACCTAATACTTCTTCATTTTCTTTCCTGTCTTGTAAGCAAGTCTTCTGTGAGTAAACACGTTCCCTGAACAGCAACTCTCCATGCAGATCACCCATTTGTCTTAACATATATGAAGAATGACTCCACCATGCTTTTCTCTCTCATATGCAGCCCAAGGTCTCCCTCTGTGGTTCACATTCTAATCACCCCCAAACAACTTAATCCATTCATTTATTCAACATTTAGAGCATTAGACACTTTGTCTGTGTCACACATTGGGCTGGCCTACCCCATTTGTGTGCATTCCTCAAAACACTTTGCGGTCCAAAAGGGCAAGGCCCATGTTTGCGCGTTCCCACTGTGGCCTATCCATCCCCCATTCTTCCGACCCCGTCCGGCATTAAATGCTCAAAAAGTTTCTTGAATGAATGAGCAACTGGCTTGTGTAAAACCAACACAGTCATTCAACCACCCGCCCTCAAAAGGCGGCAGGAACACAACAGGTGACTTTGCTGATCACAGGAAGCTTAATACTCTAACAAGTCATCCCCATGGGGTCAAAAGGAGAGGCAAAGTGTCTGGCAAATACCGTGAGGCCTGTTTCCAGCCCCGCACGGAGGGAGTCTGAGCGGGAAAAGGTCAAACGGGTTGCAGGGAAACCTGCCCTTGTGCCGGGGGCCCTGGAGGCCCAGTGAGATGAGAAACTGCAGTCAGGAGATTTGAGAACCGCTAACAAAGGCAAAGACCAGACTGGGTGGAAAAATCAATCCTGACCGTCACTGAGACCGGTCCAGGGATGAGAGCGTTAAGGAGGTCAGGGTCCAAGGGTCTGCCCTTCGCCCTTCTCTGGTTTCCCCGGCCCCGGCCCCTGTCCCCCCACGCTCACGACCTCGTCGGGCCCGTCCTCACCCACGTGCCTAAGGCCGAGAAGCCCTGATCGCTAAGTGTTCGCAGGGTGCTCAGACGCTCACGCCGAGCCCGGGGAAGAAAAGGGGGCCATCTCTTCTTCTCAGGCCTGGTCAGGGCCAGAGCCGACGCTAGGCATTACCCCTCCCCTAACTCAGAGGTCAAGGCCTCGAGGCGTCACCACAGCTACGGGCGGCCCGGCAGCAGCTCCGGAAAAGGGACCGCCGGCCGGGACGCCTGCTCACCTGCGCGAAAGTCCGCACACCACCGTCCGGACCCCGCCCTCCAGCCGAGCGCCGGGAGCCCAGACACCGCCTCTCCCAGCGGCCCGCGGGCCCTAGCCCCGGGACCCGCCCACTGGCGCCGGCTTCCTCGGAGCGCAGGGATTGGCTGAAAGGACTGGGGAAGCTAGGCGCCCGCAACCGGCCGCGCCGAGCTGAGAGCGTCCCCTTCCGGCCAGGAGGTCTCTCAGTGACGTCACCACGGGCTTTCGTTTGGAGAAAGGCTTCAACTAATACTGACTAGGAGGCTCCTAAGACTTTGGTCTGGGCACAGAAAAATAAAAAGCATGACCCTTGACCTCAAGAAGGGCTCAGCAGAGTAAAATCTAGAACTCTTAAAAACTATTCCGATCTGGGCTAGCTTTCTAGCCGTGTGATGTTGGGAAATATGTGACATTCAGCCGTGTGACTGAGCCTCCTTTCTCGCTTATGCATAGACGTAATAACACCTTTTTCACAGGATGCTGTGAGAGTTGATGAGGTAATGCATGCAAAGTGCTCTGCTGACACATCGCAAGCAGGGAAATAAATGACACTGCTGTTAGCATCAGTTCAGTTCAGTCGCTCAGTCGTGTCCAACGCTTCGCGACCCCATGGACCACAGAATGCCAGGCCTCCCTGTCCATCACCAACTCCCGGAGTGTACTCAAACTCATCTTCATTGAGTCGGTGATGCCATCCAACCGTCTCATCCTCTGTCGTCCCCTTCTCCTGCCCTCAATCTTTCCAAGCATCAGGGTCTTTTCAAATGAGTCAGCTCTTTGCATCAGGTGGCCAAAGTATTGGGAGTTTCAGCTTCAACATCAGTCCTGCCAATGAACACTCAGGACTGATCTCCTTTAGGATGGACTGGTTGGATCTCCTTGCAGTCCAAGGGACTCTCAAGAGTCTTCTCCAACACCACAGTTCAAAAGCATCAATTCTTCACTCAGCTTTCTTTACGGTCCAACTCTCACATTCATACATGACTAATGAAAAAACCATAGCCTTGACGAGAGGGACCTTTGTTGGCAAAGTAATGTCTCTGCTTTTTAACATGCTGTCTAGGTTGGTCATAACTTCCCTTCGAAGGAGTAAGCGTCTTTTAATTTCATGGCTGCAGATATCATTGGCAGTGATTTTGGAGCCCCCCAAAAAATAAAGTCAGCCCCTGTTTCCACTGTTTCCCCATCTATTTGCCATGGAGTGATGGGACCAGATGCCATGATCTTAGTTTTCTGAAAGTTGAGCTTTAAGCCAACTTCTTCAGTCTCCTCTCATACAAATTAAAATACAGTAACACCTATGTCTTACTTGGCCACCAGGTGCAAGTATTCACTCCCTCCTCTGTGTCCCCACTGCGTCCTGTACAGATGTCTATTTTATAGCGTATAGAAGAAGAAAACACCAGAGTGTAGGCTTCATAACACCCCAACTAGCTCTGCATCACCACCCAAGTGATGCAGCAGAAACACATACTAAACCCCTCCTCATCTCCCCATAGAGACCACTGTTTCACATCTCCATGCCTTTATTTACACTTTTTCATCTACCTGGAATGCCCTTCCCACTTTTCTCTACCAAAGGAGCTCTGGCTTGTTTTTCAAGCTTAAAGGACACCTTGGTGGAAGCCTCGTAGATTGCATTATCAGGTTAGATCCACTTCCTGTATGATCTCAAAGATCTCAATGCTAAGATCTGACAATGGAGGAGGAGAAAAAGGAACTGATAAAGAATAAAGAAAGATGCAGAAAACCGGGGACTTCCCTGTTGGTGCTGTGGCTAAGACTCTGCGCTCCCAATGCAGGGGACCCAGGTTTGATCCCCCGTCAGGGAACTAGCTCCCACATGCTGCAACTGAAAGATCCCTGAAGCCACAATGATGATCAAAGATCCCGTGCTGCAACTAAGACCCAGAACAGCCGAGTAAATAAGTTTTTGAAAAAGAAATGTATAGGAAACCACTATTAGCAGAAAGTGTTCACTAATTGAATATGTAGAGAGAAGAAAGCTATGACAAACCTAGACAGCATATTAAAAAGCAGAGACATCACTTTGCCAACAAAGGTTCGTCTAGTCAAAGCTAAGGTTTTTTCCAATAGTCATGTATGGATGTGAGAGTTGGACCATAAAGAAAGCTGAGTGCCAAAGAATTGATGCTTTTGAACTGTGGTGGTGAAGACGACTCCTGAGAGTCCCTTGGACAGCAAGGAAATCAAACCAGTCCATCCTAAAGGAAATCAGTCCTGATATTCATTGGAAGGACTGATGCTGAAGCTGAAACTCCCAATACTTCGGCCACCTGATGTGAAGAACTGACTCACTGGAAAAGACCTTGATGCTGGGAAAGATTGAGGGCAGGAGGAGAAGGAGGTGACAGAGGATGAGATGGTTGGATGGCACTGTTGACTCAATGGACATGAGTTTGAGCAAACTTTGGGAGATAGTGGAGGACAGAGGAACCCGGCGTGCTCAGTTCAGGGGGTTGCAAAGAGCCGGACATGACTCTGCGCTGAACAACTGAACAACAACAGCAACAGAGAAGGGAACAGAATTGCCTACAACAGGCAATTGACATGTGCTAGGCATTGGGGATGCAAAAATAACTGCGACCATCTTTCCCCTCAGAGTTGTCTGACTAATGTGGAAACAGAAGGGTCTAGAAAATGAGAGAGTGTGCAAAATGTGATGGCAGGAGTGTGCACAAGGAGCAGAGAGAAGGATCCCCAGGAAGAATCAGGGAAGACTCCCCAGAGGAAACTTGAGTCTCAAATGCTGGCGAGCAGTTCTGTTGCCTGAGAACTAAGTGGGGCTCCAGGACACAGACTTAGGAATCAGAGAGTTGTAGATTCCCATGCTGGCCCTGCTGCCTGCTAATCTCAGAAAATCTGTTCACCCATTGTTTAAAAAAAAAAAATGACAAAGAGAGACTTTCCTGGTAGTCTAGTGGTTAAGATTTCACCTTCACGGGGCAGGGGCATGTGCAGTTTCGACTCCTGATTGGGAGCTAAGATCCCACCTGCTGTCCGTCAAAAAACTGAAAAAAAAAAAAAAAAGAAAGAAAGAAACATTGTAATAAAGTCAATAAAGACTTTAAAATTGGTCCACATCAAAAAAAAAATCTTAATTAAAAAAAAATCCCTGGGTTGGGAAGATGCCCTGGAGAAGGGAAAGGCTACCCACTCCAGTTTTCTTGCCTGGAAAATTCCATGGACTATGTAGTCCATGGGGTCACAAAGAGTTGGATACGACTGAGCGACTTTCACACTTTCTCACACTTCACTTTCATCTCCTCCTAAGTGCTTGGTAATTGGGTTTTGCTTTCACTTTATGTTTAGTATTCCTCAAATGCAGGCCTCCTTCTGCAATGTCCTATGTCCATTAATGGCATTATTTAGTAAGCCAAAAACTTGACTGACATTTTCAAGGCCTCTTCATCTTTGCATTAGTCCCCAGATCCAGTTTACAGCACCTAGGCCTCCTCAATGTCTCTCAACTGCAACATCATCCCTTACCTGGACCACCCTGGCAACTCCTTCAGTGGTCTCCCTGCCTTCCATTGTCTCCTTCAGTCCATTTCTTTCAAACACTTAAATAAAACCATGAAATCTCCAGCTTACACTCATGGGTCCCTTCCAGCCACATCTCTTTTATTTCCTCTCTACCCCTGTCCTGCCTGTCACCTCTCTCAGTGCCTGCTCTTCCCATCATCTACTACTGTACTGTTCATCTAGTACTGTTCCATGACTTTGCCTAAGTGGGTCTGTTTGCCTGAAATGAATGTCTTCCCTTTTCATCCCTGACTGCAAAACTCTAATTCATCCTGCAAGACCCAGTTCAAAAGCCCTCTCTTGCAGAAAGCTTTCCCAGACTTGCTGGCTGTTAGAGGCTCCCTCCTCTGGTCTCTTCAGCCCCCTGGGTGAATAGGCCTACCTTTGTGCCATAACTTTGTGTTTATGTGACTCGCTAAGCCAGATGGGAGCAACTCAGGGACTGGATCTAATCCTTCACATGTCCATGGAGCCCAGCACAACTACCTGGGCCACAACACCCTAAGGAGACTCCCCCCATCAGCTCCTCCATCGGCCCCACACGGGGAGATTTTAGACATCACGTCTGCAGCGGGATGCCTGCACAGTCTCAGATGCTGCCTGTCCTCTGCCATTCACTCCCATATACCTCTTGGTCCCAGCAAGCCTGGCCTAGTTTCTGGGAAAACATGTAGACTCATAAAAAGCTGTATAATGTAGAGGGTTAAACTTAGACTCAGCCACTTCCTGGCTTCATGATTTGGGGTAAGTTGTTGAACCTCTCCAAGCCTGTTTTTTTCATCTGTAAAATGGAGTTGATAACAACACCTGCCTCATAGGATTGCTCTGAGTATTGTCTAGCTCAAAATTCACCCAGGTCCCCACTTTCGAACCTCAGGATGATAAAGTCAGTCAGCCAATGTCTCTCTTGGCAAGCCTGGGGATAACAGACTATGAGCAGTTCTAGGTGAAACTTGAGAGAGCCAAACAATTTTAGTGTTCCCAAACCTGGCCAGCATCAGAATCACCTCATTTGGTAAAAACTTATCCAAGGGCAAGGATTCTAGTCACTTTGTCTTACATCAGAGCCCTCTTCTCCTCCCAGTGGATAGAGGACCTCTTGCTTTTCCGGCGGCCTTCCAAACCAGCCTCTAAAATATCTGCTCATGTCACTCTCCTGTTCAAAACCCCTCCGGAGCTCCCCATGGCCCTCAGGACCCAGGCCCACCTTCCTCAAACTGACCCAAAAGCCCAGCATGATCAAGCCTCTGCACTCCCAATGCCCCGCTCTCCTCCAGGCTTCTGCACAGCTCTTCTCTGATCTCGTACATTCTTCACAACCCTCTTTCAGGGGCTAATACCTAGTCATACTCACCCTTACAATGTAACTGCTTGCTTACTTATCTATTTTTCCCATACAGCTGCTAG